TATATATATTCTTATTTTATTTTGTGTTTTGCCTGCATGCATGTAAGTGTACCCCATGCATACCTGGTGCCTGTGGAAGCCATAAGAGGATGTCACATACCCTGGAACTGGAGTTAAGTATGGATGTGAGCTACCCTGTGGGTGTTGGGAACTCAACTTGGGTCCTCTGGAAGAGCAGTAAGCACTTAACTGCTGAGCCCCAGGATTATGAATTTGAAATTTTGTGTTTTGCCTGCATGCATGTAAGTGTACCCCATGCATACCTGGTGCCTGTGGAAGCCATAAGAGGATGTCACATACCCTGGAACTGGAGTTAAGTATGGATGTGAGCTACCCTGTGGGTGTTGGGAACTCAACTTGGGTCCTCTGGAAGAGCAGTAAGCACTTAACTGCTGAGCCCCAGGATTATGAATTTGAAGCCAGTCTGGGCTATATAGCAAGACACTGTCTCAAAAAACTAACATAAGTAGAGAGGTAGGTAGGTAAGTAGATGGATGGATGGATGGATGGATGAATGTTCTTGGGCAGGAAGTCTAAACCAATGAGAACCTGGGTTTGGTCCCCATTATCACACAAATACATGAATAAAAATAAAATAAGGTGCTTTATTATTTCTTGTAGAAGTGACCTGCCTGCATGGTATGGATGTATTGTGCTCGGGGTATATGTGGGTTGGGACCAGGAAGATGCTGTTTAGCTGGAATCAAAAGTTTGGAGGCCAGGCCCATTGGTCCTCAGATTCTGGGAACAAAGGAATCATAATTACTGCTTTATCTCTTGACCTGATTTTATGTAGTTTGCAGAAAGATCTAACAAGGCTGTAGGGCAAGTGAGTTTCACAAGTGTATTACTTTTCTGTTACTATGATGAAATACCTGAGATAAAAATTTTTTTTTGAAATGGTTTGTCTTTATTATCTTTAAAAAATCATATTTAACTGTGTTAAGAACACATAAGGTAAAAATTATCCTCTTAACAGAAATATACATTTTTAATATTTTTTAAAGACAAGAAACAGGAAGTTGAGTGTGGTGGTGCACGCCTTTAATCCTAGCACTCCGGAGGCAGAGGCAGGCAGATCTCTGTGAGTTCAAGGCCAGTCTGGTCTACATAGCGAGTTCCAGGAAAGCTGGGGCTACAGGGAGACCCTGCTTCAAAAAGACCACCACCACCACCACCACAACAACAACAACAACAAAACACAAGAAACAGGGCTTCATGTATTCTGGGCTCACTACGAAGTCTAGGATGACCTTGAACTTCTGATCTTCTTGCCACCACCTG